AATTAAGTGACAGCTCTGTTTTCTTAGAGATAAGGAGCATGTAAAGCCCTATGAATGTCTTCTCTGTGAATCAACAGCTCGCATGGCCCTCCTTGTGATACACACTGTGCTGTTATATTTGTCTTAGAATTTAGGGCTGAGGAACAGGGAATTTTGTATACAGTGCGGTAGTGAAGACCCTAGACCTACTGCTTAGTCTGGTACATTGGGTATGAAAATGATACTTGAGTTTTTGAAGCCTCCATGTGCTATTTTACTTATAATAATATTGAATCCATGAACTTCAGCACAGGGACTGTTGTGTGTTCATGTGAGGATCCCCCCATATTCAAACTTTGCCCCACACCAGGCCCCACTAAGCTCCGATCATCTCTCTGTAGGACTGATGTGAGGGCAAGGATGGCAGATGTCCCTGTATCTGTGTGTCAGAGATGTTAGTGGCAGGCACCTGACAGCAGGATTCAAGTGTTGTCAGCAGAACTGACTGCATTCGATAGCTGCTCTTGCTATTAGTTAATACAATGACATTTTAATATGAATAAATTTTATGTCTTATTATTACTTTAGTTCATGAAAGTTCTTCAACTGCATCCTATCCAAGAGAAAATTAGCTTAGATGAATGTGAAAATATGAACATTTTTCATTCAGCACAGAAGTGATGCCCAAAATAATCTCAGAAAGTATGCTTTCTACTGCCCTTATCACTGCAGATGTTGCTTTAAGTTCATGTTTGAAGAAGAACAAGAAGGAAAGAAAAGAGAAGGGAAATCCCTGGGGATCTTATAGTCCTGAGTTTGCTGCTGCTCCCCATCTGCAGGGTAGTGAGTCCACTTTGCTTCCCGCACAGAAGTGCATTGTCACATGTGTCTGTACCCTCCAGGCAGGACTCTGTGCCACTGCTGCCCTTGGACCCTATTCCTTTCCAGAGTCACTGTGTCCAGGTCTGCACGCTTGAGTCCTCCATACTCTCCTCCCCAGGCAGCTTGCTTGATTGACTGGATCCACAGACTCAGTATAACTGTGCAGCTTCCGGCAAATATCCTGCTTAATTACATGTATGTTTAATGAATCCTCAGAGAAAAATTATTTCCTTTTTACAACATGGGAGTTGTGGAGTTAATTGGAAATTATTGTGAAAAGATTTAATTGATGAAAGCTTTATTGTGACCCTGAAATTTTGTTTGTCTTTTCCACACATGCTTTATCCCCTTGATGAGTAAGGAACTGAATCAAATATTGACTTGTGCATTTCAGTGTATATTTAGGGTAGAGGCAGCTTGATTATAATTTCTTGAGAATTTCAATTTCTAGAAAACTTTTCATAACAAAGATGTCCTTAAACTATCTATTACTAAACTATGAAGAGTAGGGACATAAATGGACATGAGATATCAGAAAGCTAGGCATGATTTAATTTGGTAAAATTTTTATGGGCTGTGAACATAACAATTCTGAAGAAATCTCCAAAGTTACAAGTTAGGAACACAAGCATGGCATGGCTGAGCAACCAGACGTCAGACAGTGATTTCATCCTCCTGGATCTGTTCCACAGCACCCAAGTGCCTTGGGTCCTCTTCACACTCACCCTGCTCGATTTCCTGGTGGCCCTGTTTGGCAACACCATAATAATCATCCTCATCTGGGCTGACCCTCTTCTCCACACCCCCATGTACTTTCTGCTCAGCCAACTGTCCCTCTTGGATGTCCTATGTATCTCCGCATTAGTACCCAAAATGGTGGTGGACTTCCTGTCCGGGGATCACCGCATCTCTTTCGTTGGGTGTGGCTTCCAGATGTTCCTCTTCTATCTCCTTGCTGGCTCAGAGTGCCTGCTGCTGGCGGTCATGGCTTATGACCGCTACGTTGCTATCTGCCAGCCTCTGCGCTATCCCATCCTCATAAGCCCCAAGGTCTGTGTGCTCCTCTTGCTTGTGACTTGGCTGGGTTCTCTGATCAATGCCTTGGTGCAAGTGGCCTATAGTCTGTCACTTCCTTACTGTGCCTCCAGGGAAATCCATCATTTCTTTTGTGAGATGCCAGCGCTCCTGAAGTTGGCCTGTGCTGACACTTCCCAATATGAAAAGGGTGCTTATGTCACTGCTGTGATTTTTTACATCCCTCCCATCTCTGCAATTGTGGGCTCCTATGGAAGGATACTGTCCACTGTTCTGGGCATGGGATCAGGCCAGGGACTCAGGAAAACTTTGGCTACTTGCTCGTCCCACATGACTGTGGTGTTGCTCTTTTATGGGGCTGCAACTGCCAAGTATATTGTGCCAAAGTCCTACCGCTCCCCCGAGCAGGAAGAAGTGGTCTCTGTGTTCTACACCATCATAACGCCCATGCTCAACCCCCTCATCTACAGCCTGCGGAACAAGGATGTCACTAGAGCTTTTCGGAAGGTTTTCAGAGTGTGAGGCATTGGGGTTTTCTTGTGTCAACTGTAAACCCATAATAGCATTGCCATTTGCTGTAAATGTGAATACAATATGTATTTATACCTTACTTACATTTAGTATGGAAAACAATTATGTTCAGATATTGAGTTCAAAAGCATATAATTTTGTACTGAATAAAATGTAATATTTAAAAAACATATCATGTCTACCTTCTGTAGTCAATGATAACATATATTGGAATCTTCATTATTCATTGGCACTTACAATATATTTCTTCTTTATTATTGTCTTATTTATTGTATTTTCAAAATGTGTGTGTTCAGAAACATGAACCGCGATGCCTGTTAGCAGTTGCCTGTACTGAGCATGTAGATATATCATCAAAGTGATGGATATTCTAAAGTATTTATTCTTTCTAGATTTATAAACATTTCCCCAAACGATGCTTTCTTTCAAACCTGGCTTGGAAATTTAGAGTGAAACTATTGCTGTATTATATGTGTTGGTGTACATTGTTTAATGTCTGGATTGTTTATTTTCCAGACCTAAATTCTAAACTGACACAAAAGATTGCATGACTTTAGGATGTGACATGTAGACACTCAACTACATGTTGTAACGACCACAGTGCAGTCACCATCCCACCCATGCAGACTTAACTGTTAGGATGTAGCCTCTTGACCTCACCTATTTCACACTCTTTAACCAACACTTCCATCCGGTCACCCCCCCTCTTTCTCTCTGTCTACTTTTGTTTTCTTTGTCAATTTCCTTTCAATGAAATCATGGGTATTTGTCTTTTCCTGTTTACCCATTTCCTTGGCATTTTCCTTTGCAGGCTCACCCACGCCGTGGCATATGATGACACTCAGGATTTTTAATAAAATGTTCGAAGTTTTTCCACTATACTGCTACCATCCTACGTACACACACACACACACACACACACAAACACAAACACACACACACTCACCCCACCGCCTGTCCATTCATGCATCACTGGAATCTTACTCTAGTCCCCGTGTAGTGATGGTGTCATTGATTCTGGAACCAGCCACCTCAGTGTTGGGAGCACAGCAGCAGGGCTGGTCCCTCCTCCTGCTGCTCCAGCAAAAGCCAGTCCTGGCCGTGGCTCAACAGGGCCCAGCAACCACCCTTTTGTGGGTATTTCCTAGCTTGTTGTTTGGGCCAGTCAGGTGTGAGCTGTGAGCTGACTGGTGCTAAATGGTCCAGTAGCCACAGGATTGAAAAATGGTCCAAACAGACTTGTTGGTGTTGCCCCCTGAGATAGGACAGAAGCAGGGTTGGCTGGGGCTGTAGTGTGATGGTAAATATTTTGGTGTGAAATTTTCAATTGTGGGTCGTCACAGACGGGAAAGCAAAGGTGGATGCAGTCAGCAGAGAGGAGCTGAGGCCAGACAGCAAGTGACAATCATGGGGGCATTTCGCTTCCCAAATTGAAATATCCTTCAAATTATTCATTGCCTTTATGTGTACACTGAATGATAATATTATTTTATTGTATGTCAATCTGATGGGTTTTTTTTTATTTCAATATTTTCGTAAAAAAATACAGACATTCTAGGTAAGATTACTCTTGATAACCTGCCCGGCCAGGGTATTGTGCTGTCATCCCGCCCAATCTAGTGATAAAATAAATGGGGACAACACTCCTGTAAAGTTTGGGGTGAGGTCATGGATGGCATCCCTAACACATTTCTGGAAATATTAGATATGAGGTTGGCTACTAGCTATTAATTTGTTTAGAGCATCATAACTTGCTAACTTCTCTTATTCCTTCTCAAAAATTCCCACACAATGTGTTTTGTAATTTTTTTAGTAATTACAGTGCACATGAACTTAACTTTCTTATTTCTGGTGTCCACCATGCACTGAGTGTGTTTATGGTAAATGTCGGCAGTACCCACCCACACCAGAGCTTCCAGGAGTGTCTCCACCACGTCACATGTGTGGGTCTTTGTCCACAGAAGGTTGTGACTACTCAGATCCCAACTTGGACCAAAAGCCTTATTTATGCTGTGAAGGCCCCACTCACCAAGTAAAGGGGCCTCTGTCCTCCCTGACATCCCTGACCACGTGACCAAGAATGTCATGACATGAAAGGGGAAGCCGCATTAGAGACTGGAGGGGCTGCCCAGTGAGAGAACTTCTGCTGACCCCTGAGATGAAACCCAACCAGTGCCCCTCACTACCGGGAGCACAGAAATGGAGATCAGCAAAGAGTGTCTGGAAGTTCCCTCCAGGACACACAGAATCTCACAGTGCACCTAAGTGTTAAAAAGAGGAACAATTATTGCTAATAGAGTATATGAGCAGCAGACTGTATGAAGTCATCATAAATGTAATTTAAAAATGAGCATATATTTTTAAATTTTACAATGAAATTATATGAACTTAGAAAAACATAAAGGCCAGTATTATGTGAAAATTTAAAATAAGTCTCTCATAATGGAGTCATGAAGTCATCTTCTCTATTACATTTTGGTGAGTCTCCCCTTCATCAGTCTCCCCACAGTCGTCTTCAAGGCTTTGTTCCTCAGACTGTATATGAAGGGATTAAAGGTGGGGGGCACCACTGTGTAGTACATAGAAATGACCAGGTCAGACATGGACGGGGTCTCTGAGGTTGGCTTCATATAAGCAAAGCATCCAGTGTAGAGAAACAGCAACACAACCAGCAGGTGGGGAAGGCAGATGGAGTAGACTTTGGCCTTCCCTTCTGTGGACGGAATCTTCCTAATAGCAGAGAAGATGTGGGCATAGGAAATGATGATGAAAATGAAAGAGCAGATACTCAACACCACACTAATGAGAATGGGGACAAGTTCACTCATCAAATTTCCTGCCTTTTGCACCCCGCTCCCGTGTCTGGGCGCCTGGTTTCTGATTACTCAGTGAGGGAAATTCACTTTAGTGACAGCTCCGTTGCATCTCCCCACAAACCTATGTTGTGGGCGCAGGGACCTGGGCAGTTGTGATACATGTATTTTTTTTAAGATTTATTTATTTATTTATTTATTTATTTATTTATTTATTTATTTATTTATTTATACAAGAACCAGGGTACAGACCAGCTGCATGGGAGGGTGAGAGGATTCACCAGAGACAAAGTGGGGAGCAGAACAGGCAGACTGACAATATACACTGCTGAGGGGAGCAGCGGGCACGACAGGAGAGGTCTGCGCGCCATTTGGGACCCTCGCCTGCTGGCCAGGATCGAACCTGCGCTGCAGAGGCTGCGTTCAGCTCCACAGTGCTGCACTCAAACACCTGCGCCTCCAGGGGAGGCCCAATACACATGTACTTTCCCAGTGTGCATTTTTTTTTTGCACAAGCTTACCAGCTGGCCTTGGGCTATTTGCAGGTCTCTGGAGGAGTCCTTGTCTTCCTCTAATGGTGCCTGGAGCTGTTTTCTCACTTCCTGGCGATTCCTGCATGGTTCTCCACAGTTCCCATTCACGGGGTGCAATGCCTGAAATAGTTCTTTTCTACGCAGTGTCCCCCTTGATCTGTACTTTGTTCTTGTTTTATTTTCTTTCTTTCTTTTTTCCTACTTTCTGTTGGTCAGAGAGTGCCAACTTTGTGGTTGGGGAGGGTAGCAGGGTTCTCTGATCTGTCATGTTGATATTGCTAGTTCCTTCACATTAAAGCAGAGACACCTGTGGAAATCTATTATGGATGTGATCTTGTTTTTATTTTAATTCCACACAACAACAAAGCTATGTAAAATCTAATTTTGTTAATATAAATATGGATTCCAGACCGCTGAAAAAGCTTTTTCCCTAGGCTACAACATTTTTTGAGTTGATTTTTTTCTTGTTTTCATTAAATTAGCTGGAATTGTTTCTCTTATATCTTACAGTAGTCATATACTACTACATTCTCCTAAAAATCTTACAGTCACAAGGACCTGCCCCTGCGTCACCCCCACAGAGGGAGGAGAGGATGAGACTGGGGTGAGGAGGGGAGTGGGCGGGGCTTCCCCATGTCCAGATGTCCCCACTCACGCATGGGCCTGAACAAACCTGCACCCAGAGGTTGAGCAGCGGGGCTAGGGCGATAGGGAGGGGCTGTCGGTCCACTATGAGATTCAACCAGAGCAGAATCCTAAGATCAGGTGAAATGTCCCTCATTTCCCGATCCCAGATCCTGTGTGATAAAGGCACGTTTCTGGAGCTGAACACAAAAGGCTCAACAGAGAGCAAGAGACACGGAGCTGCTCCACTCCACACCCTGGGAGTAACCTCTGGGGCATGCCTGTGACTGTCCTTGCAGGTGTCATGTTTTATTCTGCTCAATATTTTTATACAGATGATGGCTCCAGGGGTGACCAATCTCATGGCCGTGACAAAATTCGTTATCCTGGGGTTCCCCACCCAGGGGACCATGGGCTTCCTGTACCCGCTGCTCTTCTCCCTGTTCTACCTGTGCGCCCTGCTGGGGAACGGGCTCATCGTCCTCATCACCACCCCGGACCGGCACCTCCACACCCCCATGTACTTCCTCCTGAGGGTTATGTCCTTCACGGACCTCTGCCTCCTCTCAGCCATGGTCCCCAAGTACATTGCCAACTCTCTGAGGCACAGCAGCTCCATCTGCATCCCGGGCTGTGTCCTCCAGGTCTTTATGGTGGTTATTTCAGCAGGTGTAGAGATGAAACTGCTCACGGTGATAAGCCTTGACCACTATGCTGCCATCTGCCATCCCCTGCATTATGATGTCATCATGAGCAGGGGCAGGTGTGTGCAGCTGACAGCTGTGTCCTGCCTGGGTGGGGGGGTGTCATCTCTGTGATGCACACAGCTTGAACATTTTCGTTTTCCTACTGTGGTCCCCCAATTCTTTTGTGACATCCCCTAGTTATTGGCTATTTCTTGCTCAGAAAATCTAATGTGCGAACTTTCCCCATTCTCATTAGTGTGACTTTGGATGTGGATTATTTTACTTTAATCATCATTTCCTATGTCCACATCTTCCCTGCTGTCAAAAAGATCCCTTCTACAGAAGGTAAGGCCAAGGCCCACTCCACCTGCCTTCCCCACCTGCTGGTTGTGGTGTTATTTCTCTCCACTGGAAGCTTTGCTTATCTGAAGCCGACCTCAGAGATTCCGTCCATGTCTGACTTGGTCATTTCTTTGTTCTACACGGTGGTGCCCCTTTAACCCCGTCATATACAGTCTGAGGAACCAAGCCATGAAGTCGGCTGTGGGGAGACTGATGAAGGGCCAATGCTATAAGATGTGAGATATCACAATCTAAAATTACAGCCCCTCATTTATTCATTTTTTTCCCTTTAACTCTACATGTTATCATTTATAAAGTACAGAGTTCTTGCATCAGGATTTTTCCTTTTCCAGAAATTTATATTCTCATATTCTTGCATAAGCTGTAAAGGTTTCCTTATTACTGCTATCATTTCTCAAACCTCCAATTATGTGATGTTTATAAAATGATTTCTGACTTGTGTTTGAAAAAAGGAAAGAATACTCTAGAACTCACACTTCACCAACATTTACGTGAAACCAAGCAGTGGTAAACAGGATTTGTCCTCGGGAGCATACTGTCACTGGACCCCAGTCCCGGGGCACTCGGTTCCCTCAGCCTGTGTGTCTCTACTGAGGGACCCATCCTGTGGAGGGGAGGGGAGACAGCTGAGTGGTTCTCCCACCCCTTACATTTATAATGGGGCTTCTTCCTCTAAGAGACATTCATATTTCTGTTCAAAAGACAAATGGAAACCACAGTTGCCTCTGCCAGAAATGGAAGGATGGAAGCTTCCTTGGGGAATTGTAGTCTATGCTAAACCCTACAACTCATGTGAATATTAATTTCTATGATGCCTGATTCGATTGTAATAGGAACACACTGTTTAAGTACTATAATAAATGTAAAAAGTGTATGATATTTATTGAGGAACTACATTTTTACTTTTAAAATGTTTTTTTATACACATAATTTGTTATACACATCAAATAAAGTGTATATTTTTGGGTTCCTTTAGTTTTTGAAATTGTATTTTTTTAATTTTTTTAATAGAGGCATGCTTTATTTATTTATTTATTTATTTATTTTATTTGTTCGTTTGTATTGTTTATACATGGACTGCTAACAATCAGAAGTGCGGGAGGGTGAGAGAATTCACCAGAGCCAGAGCGGGGGGCAGAGCAGGCAGAAGGACAGAAGTACACTGCTGAGGAGAGCAGCGGGCAACAGGAGAGGTCTGCACGCCATGTGGGACCCTCCTCCAGTGGCTGGGGAGCAGCCAGGGATCAAACCGGTGACGCAGAGGACACGGGCAGCTTCCAAACCCAGTGCTAAACCGCTGCATCACCGGGGAGGCCCTTGAAACTGTATTTTGAGTCTTATGCCAGGACTTCTTGTTGAATCTGGTAGATGACATTCACTTCCCTTTTCTTCTGCTTTGGAAATAGCTATTTATTATACTATGTAAAGTACATTATGTAAAGGTCAGCATGACACTATTTGTAAATATTTATTCTTCTACATCATTTGTACCCTAAATATTCAGCTTCTCATTATTGTCTTCCTTCTACTGAGACCATGAGCTGGGTTGATGTTCTTCCCTCAAGAGTATTTTCAGGGAGCAGGTCACTGTGTCTCCACACTCTCCTGACTGATCATTACATACTCAGTCCAGAAAACATTTCTTCTAAAAATATATACGGGAACCACCAGACCAAGTACATTCAGATTTTGGATTTCTAGCACTAACATGTGCTAGAAAATCACTCAAATAAGCATTCATTTCAATGAATGTATTTGATCAAAGATCTATTCCCGTGGGATCCTTATTTCAGTCTCATCTGTTTTTTTAAAATATTTTCAGTTCTTCACTTGGACAAAACTTCTGTCTTTTGAGATGGGGTTTTGATTTCATGAGAGACATAATATGAAGTCATGTGAAGTTATAAATTGCCACCATCAAATAAATGCTATATTCATGGTTTTGGTGGCTTTCATTTGGTGGTTAGTTTCCCACTCTGTATTCACAGGGACCCTGCACTCTGCAAAACACCCATTACTACCTCATCTACTTCCATGCCCACCCTCTATCCCCTGTTACCTCTGGTAACTACATGTTTTCCCTAGTCCAAGATTTGCTTTTGCCGCATTAGGATTTCTGTATTTTCTATTCCCAGATGAGTGAGACCATCCACTATCTGTCTCTTGCTGTCTGTTATTTCACTTTATAAAATCACCACAAGGTCCATCCGTGTTGACCCATATACATAAGTTCATGTTTTTAATAGCTGTATAGTATTCCATTGAGAGTGGACCCACATTATTTATTCCTTCCTCTGTGCACGGCTCTTGTGTTGGGGCCATGAACAGCAACGGTGGACGGTGTGCCTGTGAACATGGGTGTACATGGTCTGCCTTGTAGTGTCTGGGCATCTGGGACAAACACCTAGCAGAGGTTGCTCCATCCTATGGTTGTTCTGTTTTTGTTGTCTGAAGAAATCTCCAAGCCATTTTCCCAAAAGAGGTGAGAGGCACTTTCTCTCCCTCCCTCACCTCCTGTTTTGTCCAGTCTCTTGATTGGTCCCTGCTTGCAGGGGAGAGTGACACGTCACTGCAGTTTAACTTGTGTTCTCTCCCCATTAGTGTTGTTGAACAATATTGTGTGGATTAAAATCACGATAGGATCCAAAACCATAAAATAGCAGAAAGAAAACATGGGGTGATGTCCTAGTGGACACAGACCCCAGAATATTTACAGGGATACAAGTCTAAGGAGAAGGGAACAAGAGCATGTAGGAACAAGTGGCCCCCCCACACTAGAGTGCTCCTGGGCCTCAGAAACGGCTGTGAGCATAGGCCCTGCGCAGGGAGAAGCCACGTGCACCCCACACTCCTGGCAATGGCGAGTGTCCATCACACAAGTTTGTCCCCACCACAACAGGGAGCAGCACACCAGTTAATACATGGGCCAAGGCCGACACGGACAGTCTCTAAGTAGGACATGCTGGTGCCTGCAGAGTCACTGGAAGGTTGGATTCAGGCTCCAGACCCTGCTCCGAACTTCGCAGGCACATCCTGACCCCTGCATGGATGTGTTTGTCCCAGTCCCAGGATGGGCTCACCCTGCGGGGCCAGTGGAGTCCAGGGTGTGATCGTGTCATTTTTCAGCGTTAATGTCTAATAAGCTGGGCGGACTCTGTCCTGCTACATCCTGGGACCTCTGAGAGCTGCAGGTGACAACGCTTCCGCTCCTTACACTCAACCCACACTTTCCATCATGTCACTTTCCCCTCACAGAGTGTGCTGGACACCCAAATCCACGTGGTCCGAGTCTGTTTTCTGAGAGACTTGAATGTGGGGAATGTGCTCCTGGATGCCGAGAAGCTTTTCTCAGCCGAGATTAGCAGGAAGGACTAACTATACTTTTTCTCAAGTCATGAAAAGAACATTCAGATGACACCGATTTCCCCATGATACCCGGGGGCAACAGCCCCAGTTGTTCCTCCCTCAGGTACCTCACAACCTTCTCCCTGAACCCCTATACAGACACCAGCCCAGCATTATCACCTGGCCCTGTTCCCGCAGTCATATCCTCCGTTGAGTAGGAGCAAAGGGGGTGTCCTCTCCCAGGAGGGAACCCGCCTGACAGAGTGTGCAGGGGACACCCTCTCTGTAGGCAGGAGCCTCCCTGGGCAACCGGGAGAGCCAGGCCCAGCCCCAGGTAGGGAGCTGGGGGACAACCTCTGGTGGACAGGGGGGAATTGCAGGCCTGGAAGGAGGGCCTCTCCTCAGCAACCACATGCCATAAGCTGAGGTCAAAGTTCTGTGCCCTCAAGTCTGGGGAGGTCATCAAGGGTCATGGACCCCATGGACACTGAGCCGGGCCCACCCACCACGTGGACCCACACTGTCTTTAAAAATGGGACCAGCACCTGGTCCCCATGGCAGGTCAGTGGAGGCTGATGGAGTCTGAGGAGGAGGAACCACAGTTCAGTCCCCACAGGAGTCAAGACTAACAGAACTGCCTCTGGCACCCTTAGTGCACTAATTATCACTGGGATATGCTGCAGGATGATGCCAATTAAGACAGTCAACAACAATAAAAAATGCACTTGTCCCTCTGGAGGAAGGTCGCCGAAGGCTGGAATCTGGACAGTGTCCAACACACAGACACCAGCTCCAGAGCTCAAATAGCCCAGCCCTGAGGCCCTGCTCAGTCCATGAGGCGGCACAGGACGGAGTAGAACATGCTGTGAGTGCTCAGCGGCTCCCCACGAGCCCCAACCATGGAGTGAGAGGCCGGGACATCCTCTGTCCACGCCACGGGGACAATCTCAGGACAGACACTCGACACGGCAGCGGAATCTTTCCCCCCAGACTGCAGGTATTTAGCTCTTAAACAGTTTCCAAGGAGAATCCATTGAGATTGAAAGATTTCAGATTTCAAGCTTCCTTTCACATCTCCGAAAGTACTGGAGTTAAAATATTCTTTCAGAAAAGAACTACATATTCTCAAGGTTCCCAAATAGTTCCATTTCACACAATATTTTTTATGGGATGAGTTTCAATGGGAGAAATTAAATTTTTCATTAACTCTTCCAAAGTCTGTGACATTTAATTCATTTTTCATAGAGAATGTTTTGAATTGTGGCCGATGACAATATTGTTTAATAACTGATGTTAG